AACCTGGCCCTGGCCAGGTAAAAAACAGCAGTGATAACTGCAACATAAAAGCCAAGCATTGTGGCGGACACCTGTAGTCCCAGCTACTCGGGAGGCTGAGGCAAGAGAATCACTTAAGCCCATAAGCTGGAGGTTGCTGTGAGCTATGATACCGTAGCACTCTACTGAGGACAACAAAGTGAGACTCTGTCTCAAAAAAAAAAAAAAACTTTAAGGGGATACAATATTATTGGTATTTCACCTTTACCAACGATGAAATGACAGCACAAGAGATAAAATAATTTGCATGTTACCTGGCTTCTAAGTGGTACAGTCAGACTCCATCTACTAAATGAGACCAAACAGCATCATGCAAATGAGATATTTAACAAAATACTTGGTGCATAAAATACTTACGTGCCAAACATTAAGCTCTTTGTATTTATTTAATTTTCATATTGATTATCTAAGAAGTGGTTATTATCAGCACTATTTATGATCAGATTATCAACCTTCGCACCAAAAAAGTCACATAAAAGAAACGGCAAGAGAAATGACACAGACCCCAACCTCTACTCTTCTCAGAAAATTGTTAGCATGTCCTTAACACAATATGTTTGGAAGGTTAGCACTGGAAACCAAATCAAAATTAACCGAATTCGTACCACTCAGAGACACATGTCATTAACTGTATACATGCTAGCTTATAGTTCTAAAAAACAATCTCTAACATTCGAAGACAAAATAAGCACAGATTTTTCTCAATTAAAAAAAATTCCCCTCCCCAAATGTTGCTACTCCACAATGTACCATTATCATGCTTTATATACCTTTTCCTTGTAAGTATAAATTATCTTGATTATGCCAAATTTACCTGATGTAAACAACCCTCTTCTTAAAAGGTCAGTTTTATTATCAAAAATAAATTTGGAAATTACTGCATATGAAGAAATAAAGTAGCCAATTCCTTAATCCTTAAGTTAGTGAAAACCCACAAGAATTATGAAAATTAATGAATGCAAATTCTTCAGCTCAATATAGCATTTAGTTTTTAATTTCTAGTTCTCATTTTTTAGTAATAACAAACATATAAAAGATTTTAGGTAAAGACTCTTAAAACTTACGGTGCAATAATGGCTCTAGCAGGTCTTTTGGTAGACTGTACTTGCGAAAGCCAACCTTCTAGCTGTGCATTCAGCTGCGGTCCTATAAAAAGGCAAAGAGTGAAATTAGAGTCAGCAAAGCAATGTAACACAGATTACCAACCATATATGACACAAAGCAATCACTGAACCTATGAGGTACTAAAATAGCTTAATTGACAGTAGATTGTCAGTTTGGATGTTAATCTTAGAATCTACCAACTGGAAGGGCTCTAGCAAGCCACAGAAGGCTGAGAACAAATTAAACAAAATTTACTTTTATCCATTCATTTACAACCATTTTCATTCAAGAGCTATAATGTGATTTATAATTTGAGGCGGTATTTAAACAAAATAAAATAGAAAGCAGAAGACATGAAGCATATTAAGAGGAAATAACTGAGTCAATGTATTTCAGAGCACCAAAACCTGTCTCAATCACTGAAATGAATCCATAGAGGTAATCGCTCCCACAACCAGCTATCTTTTCTTTCATCCCACATCAGCCCCCAATTTCCATAATCAAATCAATAAGCAGTAATTATACTATCTCAAAATTCTCAATTTCAAGCACTCAATTCAAACTTATCTTTCCAGTTCACTCCTAGAAGTGAATTCCAACAATTTTTCCCACATCATTAGCCTCTCTCTTTCTTCACTTCTTACCCAGCCTGAAACTCAAAAATCATCATTGTAGGCTTGGCGCCGGTAGCATGTGTTTACAGTGCCAGCCGCATGCACCAAGGCTGGCGGGTTCAAAGCCAGCCAGCGCCAGCTAAACAACAATGACAACTGCAACAACAAAAAAAACAGCCCGGCGTTGTGGCAGGCACCTGTATTCCCAGCTACTGGGGAGGCTGAGGCAACAGAATCACTTAAGACCACGAGTTGGAGGGTGTTGTGAACTGTGATGCCACAACACTCTACTGAGAGCAACATAAGAAACTGTCTCAAAATAAAAAAAATCATCACTATAATCACTCTTTTGCCTATGCCTCACTACTCTACTCCTCTCTCCCTCCATCATAGTTAAAACATACCATGTTTCCCCGAAAATAAGACCTACCCAAAAAATAAGCCCTAGCAGGATTTCTATGCATTTGTTAAATATAAGCCCTACCCTGATAATAAGAACCAGTGATGGCTGGTATCCTGCATAGCCACACCAACCATTTTGGCACGGAGTGGTAAGGAAGACTGGAATATTTTTTATCTGCCACAGCTACTTTCTCCCAGTGGTTAGCACTTGCGCAGGTGCGCATTTGGTAACCATGGTCGCAGGCATCCTATTGTGCACGTGCCAATGGCTAGGGGAAAGGAGTTCATGCATCACTAGCACCAGCTCCACCAATAAGGTGGGGTCCCCCTGTCAGGTTCCAGAAGAAGATGACTTAACTGTATTTGAATAAATGTAGATTATTGTATTATACTTAATAAAAATAAGACATCCCCTGAAAATAAGCCCTAGTGTGTCTCCTTGAGAAAAAATAAATATAAGACATTGTCTTATTTTCGGGGAAACATGGTAGTTTAAAACCATAGTTCAAAATTTCTCCACTTATCTCAGTACTGACCACCTGAATAAGACAGAGAATAAAGAAGAGAAATATAATGATAAGAACTTTAAAATTAAAACCATCAGCCACTGTGGCTTATGCCTATAACCCTAGCACTCCCGGAGGCCAAGATGGATGGATTGCTTAAACTCAGGAGTTCGAGACCAGCTTGAGCAAGAGCCAGAACTGGTATCTACTAAAAACAGAAAAACTAGCCAAGTGTCATAGCACAGGCCCGTAGTTCCAGCTAATCATGAGGCAGAGGCAAGAGAATGGCTTGAGCCCAAGAATTTGAGGTTACACCAGGGCACTCCTCCTAGGGCGACTGAGAGACTCTTGTCTCAATCAATCAAGAAGTAAATAAACATCATAAATTTCAGTAGACCCCTAGCAATGCTCAGAAATCCTATCACATTAGCCTAGTGAATCTGCTCTCCCATCTTCAATACAGAAAATCAACTCATAGCTTCCCCCTTTTACTATGATCTTCAAATACCTCCCCCCCATCCCCTTCTTACTTCCAGGAAATAATCAATGCTTTTCATTTTGTCAAGGAAAAACAAACAGAAGTAGAGTGGTCAACCATCTTGGTACGCCTGGTACTTCCCTAGTTTTAGCACTACAAGTCTGGCATCCTGGGAAATCCTTCAGTCCCAAGTAAACCTTGATGTTAATCACCCTACATTCAGAAAAGAACTACCTTATCTTCCCATAATTTATTGTGCTTTCCCTCCTGTTTCTACAAATCATCCTTGCTCCAATCAAAAGCCAAACACACTATTTCTGTACTGGGTCCCAATATTTTTTCCTTACTAAAAGATTCTGCTCCTACAACTGTAATCAGTCTCCTGCACCAACCTGTCCCTTTTTACTTGATCACCACAATTAGCATGCTAATATGCAATACTAACCTGACTGATACCCTTCCAGACTTCCTCATTACTCTGGTACCCTTCACAACAAATTTTCTTGAAGAGGTGTCCTCATTTCACCCCTCCCCGTTACAACCATTCTCCTTTTTGTTTTCTTTTAAATACCAATTCTCCCTTTTATAGCTTTTAATCGTTAAATATTTAAACATTACAAAAGAATTTAGATAACAATAACAAACGTCCATGTACCCACTGCATAAGTAAATTAAATCTTAACGTAGTGCCTTATTTACTTATTTACATAGTGAGACTCTGTCTCAAAAAAAAGAAAAGAAAAAGAAAGAAAAGACCAGCGTAGTGGCTCACACCTGTAACCCTAACACTCTGGGAAGTGGAGGCAGGAGGATTACTTGGGATCAGGAGTTTGAGACTAGCCAGAACAAGAGCAAGAACCCCCCCCCTACAAAAAAATAGAAAAATTAACTGAGCATGATAGCATGCACCTTTAGTCTCAGCTACCTGGGAGGAAGATCACTTCAGCCCAGGAGTGTGAAGTTGTAGTGAGCTATGATAATGCCACTGCACTCTAGCCTGGGCACAGCGCAAGACTCTGTCTTAGAAAAACAAAGAAAGAACCCCCTGCTGATACCTGTATATCTACCCCTCCTTAGAGGTAACCACTTTATGGTTTTGGTGTTTATCATTCTGTTACACTTTTACTGTATATGTAATTCTTAAATAATGTGGTATTGCTCTACATGTTTTTAAGTATCATCTAAATATACTTTATATATCTTGCAACTTGCTTTAGCAAATTCACACTGTTTTTAAAAATTATTCACAGCCAAGCACGGTGGCTCCTGCCTGTAATGTGAACACACTGGGAGGCCAAGAATGGGGGATTGCTCAAGATCAGGAGTTCAAGATCAGCCTGACAAGAGCAAGACCCAGTCTTTAAAAAATTAGCTGGGCACTGGGGCAGGAGCTTGTAGTCCCAGCTACTCAGGAGGCTGAAACAAGAGGATCACTTGAACCCAGGAGGTGGAGGTTGCTGTGAGCTATGGCATTCCACTGAGAACAACATAATGAGACTCTGTTTCAAAAAAACAAATAAATAAATTAAAATTATTCATGTTGATATATGTAGCTCTAGGGCATTCATTTTCAATGCTATACTGTATTCTCAAGGCAACTACTATATTTACAGTCTTAATAAAAAGACAAATGCTAAAAATGAATTAAAATATATTTTTAAAATACTATATAGTATTTTATTTTATGAATGTAACAAAATTTATTCACTCTCCTACTCACAGGTATTTTAGGTGTTTCCAATGTTTCACTGTTAATATACTCAAGTATGCTATGAACACGGGTTAAGAGTTTTACTGGGATTTATCCAGAAGTAAAAGTACTGGATACTAGGGATACATATCTTCAACACTACTACAATATTGTTAAATTGAACCCTAAACTAGCTGAATCAATTTATCCATTGGTAAATAAATAAAAATTAAAAATAAGATGCTTAGGCTCAGCACCTATGGTTCAAACCCAGCCCAGGGCTGCCAAACAACAATGCCAACTACAATCAAAAAATAGCTGGGCACTGTGGTGGGCGCCTATAGTCCCAGCTACTTGGGAGGCTGAGTTAAAAGAATCGCTTAAGCCCAAGAGTTTGAGGTTGCTGTGAGCTCTGATGCTACGGCACTCTACCAAGGGTGACATAATGAGACTCTGTCTCAAAAAAAAAAAAAAAAAGCTTAATTCTACCTGTATTCACACTTCCCCTTTTTTTAGAGCATTTTCTTTAGTAAACTTTTAAATTCTTTCTCTGTTCCTTGAAATGTACATAAACCTTTTTAAAGCTAAATAAGCATCTAGCCAGCAACCCAGGACAGCCTTTCTCAAGGACCTAGTAGCCATCTCTTTAAGATGTAATGAAGGGAGTGGCACCCCATCTCAGTTTCTGCGGGTGAAATGAACACCTGACTTTGGTAGACCACCTACTTCTAAGTTGCAAACTTGTAACTTTGCAACTTGTCATGGAAGTATGAGTTTATTTTTCCTTTGGATAAAGCCAATTGTCTCATACAAAAAGTCAACACAATTACCAAGTAAATTTACGATAAGTTATGTGTGACAAATGATGCTATCAAATCCTCTTAAGTGCTACTTATTCTTACCTTGAGAGCATATATGTAATGGGTTATAACTGCATGGCTATATATAAGGGTGAGTCTTCTTTTGGTCCCTGCAATTTTTAGCAGATTGTCTGTGATACACAACATATTCTGCCTTAATACTTATTCTAATTTAAAAAAAAAAAAAACTGTTTCCTTTTGTTTGATAGATAGGATCTTGTTCTACTGCCCAGGCTGGAGTGAAGTGGCACAATCACAGTTCACTGCAACCTTGAACTCCTGCCTTGGCTTCCTGAGAAGCTCAAACTATAGGCAAATGCCATAGTCCAGCTAATTTTTCCTTAAATGTTCTTAATTTTTTTTTTAATTTTTTTTTTTTTTTTGAAACACAGAGTCTCACTTTCTCACCCTGGGTAGAGTACCGTGGCATCATAGCTCAAAGCAACCTCAAACTCTTGGGCTCAAGACACCCTCTTGCCTTAGCCTCCAAGG